ACAATTATTTAAGGATAGAATGTTATTCTTTATTAATCCTAAAATAGAACTAAAGATTCTAATCTCTACTGCCTTGAGCTTCAGGTCATTTTTAATTTTGGAAGCGTTTACACTCTAAAGGCTGCGTTTACACGACTACGGGTGCGATTACACCACCACTGGGATGCTTACACCCCACGGGGATGTTTACACACCCATTTCTTAGTCATTTTTTCCTGTGATTATTCAAGTGGGCCACAGCAACAGGTTCAAACGGCTATGTTTGCACCCTCACGGTCGCCTTGAGCAGCAGTCATGTGATTAAGCCACTAAGACAATCCATCATTACCATTTAGTATAAGTTATGAATTGTTAAAAAAAAAAACGCCCTAAATCTGGTTTTTATTCTTTTGAATATGATCATTAGATGGCAGTTAACCATACACTCCGTTATGCAAGCAAAACTACGTTCCTGGTATATCTTTATTAATATATGTAAGTTAATATATTCATTATCAGCATTTAAAAAAGTGGCTAAAATTAAACACCATTATAACAAAGAGAGAGTTCGTACGTATGTACTTAATTTCGGAATAGTACGTACGTACGTACGTACGTATTTGCCAAAAAATAACGCTATTTTAGATGTTACTATAACCGGCAGGGATGGTAAATGACCTTCAAATGACCTTCAAATGACCTCAAATGACCTCAAATGACCCCAAATTTATTATGAATTTTAGTCCGAAATGACCTAGGTCATTTGAAAAAAAGGCAAATGGCCTCCAATTTTACCATCCCTGATAACCGGTGACTCTGATACATAAGTACACATGCATGTCCAAACAATCATCAACAATGCAGTGCAAGGAAATGTAGATTCCGCCATGGTAATCATAGGAAGTTTGGATATTTGGTGTGAAAGTTACTTAATCAAATTTACAAAAACAGAAATAGATATTTAAGGAATAATACGTATTATCACTATTGTTCCAAATTTGAGAGCGTCACTTTTATATCACGCATTCAAACATCCAATGGTTGCAGGAAATAGCCATGGCTTTTTTTGTGACAATTAAATTCTTAACCGAAATCATCACTAATGTATAGGTTTAGGTTAAAGCTATGATGGTTTGTGTTAATCATGGATAATTATCGTTACGCATTATTTTGGAAAATTAATCTATAAATCAGTGTTTATAGTAATGCAAAGTAAAGAATGTAGAAGGTTAGGATTGACATAGTAACAAATAAAAAAAATTCTTACTAAACGATTAAATATAAATTTGGATTGAAAATATTAATTAAACAAATGTCTAATTTTCAAGCTTTCGTAATATTGTCGTCATGTCTGAGAATGAAAATGACGAGTCAATAATAAGTAGTTCTAAATTATTAACAATTCGTAATGAAACTAAAGATGATTATCTCGAAAGAATTAGTAAAAAGGGAATAATAACTAGCTTCTGTTGGGACGAATTCGAAATTATAGAACGTCTTCATATGGGATGTTCTGGTGAAGTTCTAAAAGCTAAATGGAAGACAAAGAATATTATAATTGTTCTAAAAACTGTAGCTGATTTGGATGAAGCAGACTCAGATAATCAAAAGTTTATCAAGAATAACCAAGAATTTAAGGATAATCAAGAATTTAGTAAAGAGGTAGGACAGTTCCGTTCATTCGTAGCATTTTAAATTCTGACAAGTTTCTTCTATGCTTAAAAGATTAAAGCTTTTCACAAAATCGAACAAGTGCTGTTAAATAAAGAAAAGACACTACCAATAGGTTGTAAAAATGTAATCAAATTTTTTGGTGCAACGAAGCATCGGTATTGTTTAAACTTTATACGTATAATCTTACATGCCTCATGCCGTTGAATTTGAACCACTTATCGTCATCTTTTTTTCAAAAAAAAAAAAAAAAAAAAAATAGTACTAAATCCGGTAAATTATATATTCTGTATCAATATGAACTAGTGATGCTTGACGAAATTGATTTTATTAGTAGACGAAATTAAACCTGACGAAATGACGAAACTCTTGACGAAATTATTTTGATCTATAATTATTAGTGACAAAATTAATTTTGAATTAGAATATTATTTTAAGGAGTATGCAGTCTAAGTTTATAGAAAAATTTCGGTGTTTATATGAAATTTTTGGCACAATCGCTATTTGTCAATTCAAAAATAATTTCGTCAAGCATTTATATATTGGTTATCTGGTTATCTGGTTATTATCAATTAGAATTGTCATTGCTGCACCGTAAATAATACGTTTCATGTGAGTTTTAATTTGCAAATCGATTAATAATCAATTCAAAACGTATATACGTAGATACATATGTACATAACTGGCTTTAGCTATTAGACTATCTACGTAAATAATAAACATTATACTGATCATGCCGAAATCAATAACTTATCGAATCGGCCAAATAATCATTCGGTCAATTTTTTACCAGATGTTTCAAAATTTATGAGAACAGCTGTAAATAAAAATCTGCTGAATGATTTTGTTATATATATATATAGATTACATTGTAATTTGAAAAATATATGTTGTTAAGCAAGTATTTAAATGAAAATTTAGTAATTTTGAACATGCTGACATTTATAATGTTAAAATTATTATAGAAAAGTATTATATATAATGCATATGTCTTATATATATGGGATATGGGGTGGAAATTTGTGTGTAAATTTCTGTTATATAATTTTTGTTATGTAAATAACGTTGTCCAGAACTTTTATAGAGCTGACACACAAATTCTAATAATTCTGGCAAAATTTTTGTAACACAGATTAATAATCATGTGCCGCTGCATTAATTAATGTAAAAGTTATATACATATAATTTATTCTTGTTATTTAATGGGTACAACATAACAACCCGTGCGACTACATAATCAAATAAACTTCCTTTTTAACTCTTATTTTAGTAATTAATTTTAGATTAATTGACTTTTAACCTTATTGATCTCTTTTTTTTTTCTTTACA